GCAAGATGTAAGTATATTCATAGCATGAGAAAGGGTCAAGTGTTCAAATCCAGTGGCTGTCTCTGGGGCATCTTGGGACCCTCTGAATGTCTCTTCTCTCAGTGTTTGCTTGGTTCTTCCCCTGTAGAAATACAGGGCTCCGTGACTCAGGTATATACTCTGATCAGTTAGCATCTGTGCTCTCTCTACTTGTTAGACAAAGTGGGTGAATTCAGAAGCTCCATGTGTCATGCAACTGAATGTTTGCCTAAACTCTGTGGTTTAGAAAACATCCCTTTGCTGGAGACAGTAAATGTTTACAAGATCAGCCACAGTAGACATGACCCACCCTCTCACTGTTCCACTGGTCTTCCATGCTTCCTCATACAGAGCAGCCTGGACTTGGAGGTGAGCTCTTAAGCAGTTTTCCGATATCCCCAGATGCCTAATGTCTAGAAGCTTGGGATTTGTGTGCTATTGCCACCTTTCTTGTAAGATCCCTGTGGAACGTTTCTTGCTGGTGAAAGTGCCAGTCTGGCTTGATCACTGCTAGCCTATGACCAATCTGTCTGGAGTAAAGGCAGAGGGTCACCTCTATGTTTTTGCCTATTATACCATACACACCTGAATTTGTTTTAACTAGAGTTATGAAAGAGTCTACTTTATGGCCTATGAGCATATATGATAGGCTCATCCCAAGGACTTTTGACTTGACATTGTAGGATAGGCATATCACTGTTCCAATGTATGAAGAAGGCTGTGGAGTCTCAAAGTAGCTGTGAATTTTAACCCTGCCATGCATCTGTACACAGGTGGCTAGGGAACCTACCTCTGATGCTGTTGTTCCAAAGCCGAACCTGGTTCTGTCTCCAAGCACAGCAAAGTGGTATGGCTGGGGTTTAGAAAAAGCAAGCTCTTGGCTCTGGGACATGCTCTACTGGTCTTCACTGTGCATTTATAGGCTAGTTGCTCTTAGATCTAACCCAAGAACCCCAAATAACAGGGCACAAGCAGGTCTTATCTCCCAGGATCAGGGGGCTAGTTGAAGGAAATAATTATCTGAATAATACACTACAAAATGTTAATGTCTATATTATCTATATACATAACAGACCCATCATTATTTTGGACCTTTGCCATCTACTGGTTGTTCAACTATAAAAATTCAATAAATGAATATAATAGGAATTCATATTGGTCAAGATTGGGAACATTAGCAGACACTGTAAAACAAAGCAAATGGAAACAAATCAAATGAGCTCAATATGCTCTTACTTTAGTTTTAACATCTTGGATAATAATCCATTTAGGGAAATACACATTTCACATACATATAGACTCATCACATCACACACACCAGGCACGATGAATGATTCTCAGATCTAAGCGTGAGTAGGGTACTGGGTGGGGCTTTCAATGAGACTCAAGACTTCCTTTTGAATTGTCACTGACATCACACTAGCAGACTAATTTTTGAATTGATCGGTTTTCGGGTGTATCTTGGAGCTAAAAAACGGAGAACAGTATCTCTTCCCTTCTCACCTTTCTAGTGTAACTTTCAAGTACAAATATAGATGGAAGTGCTGCTGTTGCTAACATGACACACTTTCACAGAGGCTAAGATTAGACTGTTTCAGGAGAGGAACTCGAAAGGCTGTGGTCCAACCCGGGAGGCCCCGCTCTGCTTTTCCATACACTAAAATAAAATCGACTAAGACAAATCCACTAAGACACCTAAGTTTGCTCATCACCTACTATGTGCTACAGATGAGTCAGGAGGGTATCATGGAGACATCCCTGCTTAATGCATTTTCAACATTTTGAAGAAGGATGACATCTATAGAGGGAATTTTACCAACCAGGCAGCTAGTGCCCCAGAACCTGGACTGGGAGAGTTATAACTCCACTTGGGGGGGGGGGGGCAGCTGACGAATTTACTAGAACTGTAGGATTAGACTCAGAGCAATCAAACCCAACACTGCAAAGCTTTATCTGGGAGCAGGGGTCCAACTCTGGCACAACTCACATTTCTTCTGCATTCTAATCTCTTCTTAAACTTTAGCTTTCTCCAATTCCCAGGTCACGTGCCCTGGGCTTGCCACCTAGAACTATGAAGCGACTATCTTCTGCTCAGAAGCCAAGATGAGCATGTGCTGCCATTTCTGAGTCTGAATTCCAACCTTAGGGCTTATTATTCAGGTTGATTTACACATCCAGCCCTGAGCTGACATGCCAAGATAATACTGTACGAGCCAAGATCACCACTAGGGGAACATTCTCTGTGACCATGCATGCCAGGCAAAGTCAGATGTGTCCAGAAAGGAGGGTTCAGAAGTCAGTTTGTCCTCTCCACAGTAGCAATATGATTTTATTATTAGTAATGTTTAAGGGCTATATAATAAAGTTAGGCAGTAGACTGTCAAATAATAAAACAATGCCATTAACCACATAGCGAGATTCTTAGGAGTAGGCAGGTTCATTCAGACATTTAAGTATTCTGAGTAGCCTTGTAATACAATCATTGTACTTTCTTCATGGTATGAGATGGCTGCTATAGATTTAAACAAGATAGTTGCTGTTGAGTTAGACAAGACTTCCTCACATTTCTTTTAGCATGGGCAAAGAACTCTATGGTGCAAGAGCAGGTCTTGATTATTCCTTGGATGCATCATGTACAAGAGTTCTTTTGTCCAGAAGCCCTCCCAATAAACCTACCCTGGGATTACTTTGATCAACTCTAGGTTGTAGGATAAGACCAGCTTCAAAGGATTCTGGAAGAGGAGGTATGTGGCTTAGGATCAGGCTTAAGAAATAGGGGGCTGAGAATTGGTGATTGAAGAGTCAGTCAAATATCCGAAGCAATGATTAGATACCAAAGAATAGCCACATAGATGCCAGTAAGATTTTCTGTAAGGAGGAAATGCTTTTTATCTTCACTATGTCACATTGCATGGCCTCTGGCCAGTTGTGTCCATAGGACTGAGAAACTGAATTTCACATTTGTATTTAAATTTAACTAATTTAAATACAAATAGGCATATATGAGAATTTGACCACCATTGGGCAGTGTAAAGCTATGTACTATCTTCTTGGCAATGTCTACCTGGAGATCAGAGATAGAACAGAGAACTGGAGCCTATGAGTGCACAGACTTCATAGGAACTAGGAACTTGAAATGGATCCAAAGGAGATTGGGCTAGCCCTAACACAGGGAACCAGAAGCCAATGATAGTGTCACAGTGCTTAATCCCATCACTTGGAATGTTGAGGCAAGCAGATCATAACTTCAAAACCAGCATGCACTGCATAGCAAGAGAGACTTCATCTGAAACATCAACTTAAAATAAAATTTAAAGACAGGAAAGAAAAGAAAATCAAAGGGGGAAAAGTAGGCAATCTTATTTAAGGGGAGCTAGTTAACTCAGGCTTGCAGTAGTAGGGTTTTTGTGGAAGAATGAGAAAAAGCTGAAAAGTAGGTACAAGTCAGGAAGCAGGAATTTTCTAAGGTCAGCTTAGACAACTGGCAACTTGAAGAGTTGAAAAGGGAGTAAACTATGAAAGCATACTCACCAGAAAAGGGATTAATCCATAATGGAGGATAAGGTAGGGAGAAGGCCAGAACCTTGGCTTTGATAGGATTGTTCATGCTGTGGCACTCATGAAACAAAGAAGCACGTGGCTCCTAGGCAGAGGAACAAGATTCCTGGTCAGTAGGCGTGGCCCAGAGACTTCTGATGCCCCGGGTGTTTCCGAAATCCCCAAATGGAGGTCTCCAGCCTGTCAAACCCTCAGTCCTAAGCACTAGCTCACAGCCCAGATCTCCTAAGTTAGCAGCCAGCCTTGCATGAACTACATAGGAATGTATGTGAAAAAGGGAGGGCCCGGGGTGAAATATCTTAGGTAAGAAATTAGAAATCAATTAGAGACAGCTGAGATAAAATGTTATTTCAAATTTTGAGAATAGTGATGCCAGAAATACAAATAGTAACCTTAGGGGCTGGAGAGATGGTTCAGCAGTTTAAGAGTACTGGCTTCTCTTCTAGAGCACCCGGGTTCAATTCCCAGTACCCACGTGGTAGCTCAAACTGTCTGTAACACCAGTTCCAGGGGAATCTGGCATGCCCACACAGACATACATGCAGGCAAAACACCAACACACAGAAAATAAAAATAAACAAATTATTAAAAAATAGCAACACGAAGTGGTTATGAGGTGACATAATGACTTGGAATTAAGTGCTAATAGGTGACCTGTTTCATCAATCCATGGCTCTGGCACACATTCTGTTACATGGTTCTCCACACACACATTTAGTATGCTTAATCATGTGATTTGCTTAGCCAATGAGACATTAATACTATGCAGGTAGAGGCTTGATAACGAGGCTTGACCTCTAGGAGTCAGGCAGTGTGCTGGGAGGAAGCTCAGCTAGACTGATTGTTGTTGAACATGGGTAAAAGAGGCAGAGTGAGTGGGGTGCCTTATATGTTATCTGCTAAGCTTGGTCAATTCAAGAATTGATAATGAGTAAGGACTCATCTTTGCTTTAAGCTAATATGCTTTGGACATTTTGCTGGCGGTGACAGGTAATAGAAACAAAATCCACAGTGGTCCTCAGTGACAGACACCTCAAGTTCAGCGATCTGAGCTTTAAATTTAACTGCAACAGCAGCATATGCCATGGGTTGATATGACTTGAGTGTGTTCCCCAAAGGTTTATGTCTTGGAAGCTTGGTGTTGCCATGGTGCATGGTGGACACCTTAAGCAGTAGGGCCTACAGGAGGGTAAATTATGTCATGGGGCTCCCCTTTGATTAATGGGTGAATGTTGAGGCTGAAGAGAGATGGCTTAGTGGTCAAGAAGAGAAAGGACAAAGACCCTCCCCTCGCAACACATGAACAGAGAAGTGGAGGGTTTAAGAGTAGGATTGCCACGAACAGAAATAATTTAAGAAATACTCTTAACTGAATTCAGTCTCTTCTTCTTTTCTGAGTCTTTCTAACTCTCTCTCCTTGATAGAAGCAATTAGCTACGTCTCGTGGAAAGAGTCATAACATGACAAGACAGAAGCCCTGGTAATTAGGAGGTTCCTCATTATCACTCATCTTTTGAACAGTACAGACTGAGAAGCAATTGCCAGTTGCAAATTGGTCAAGCTGCCAATTGTCCCAGCATTCCTGAAGCCTGTCCTTTGGATCAGGAAGAGAAGAGAACAAAGCTGCAGAGTTGTGAGGGTCCCTCTCTTGAATACACTGAACCTGGGGGCTCAAGCCAAATAAACAAGCCATCTTAAGATCTGGAGCCGAAGTTCTGCTTCGAAGTCTGAGCTCTGAGAGTTTTTAGTCACCAGTCTCCATAGAAGAGCCTAAATTTCCAAGTTACATTATTCATGTCTGTTTAATACATAAATCACTCAACATGCTATAACTGAAGCAGCAAAGGCAACTCTGTTCTTTTTGTTCTGTCTTTCACATGTGTGTGTGGTGTGAATGCATGGATAATATATGTATATTTGGATGAATGTGGGTGCACTGTGTGTGAGTGAATTAGTCAAGGGTCTCTAAATGATTGGAGAGAGAGGAAAAGAGAGGGGGGAGGAGAAAGGAGATAAAGAGGAAGAGGAGAAAAGAGATTGATGAGCCTGGCTTACTGGCTGTGGCTTGGCCAGTAGTGAGCATCTCATGATGGAAAGACCAAGAATTCAACAATTCTCCAGTCCAGGAGAAAGGATGTTTCTGCAGTTCTAACCTGAGGCTGGAGTCCTGGAGGACTACTGGAGAGTTGCTGATTGTCGGTCTGTGTTGGGATCCTGAAGAAGTAAGTTCCAATACAGGTAAAGGAATGCCTTAGGAACAGGATAGATTGACTTGTCAGTCAGAGTGAGGGCCCCTGAGATCAACCTTAGGAAATACATGAATGTATTGAAAGGACTTGGAGCTATGGAGAGAATAGAAATTCCCACCTCCATTCATCTGGAAAAGAGCCTAGTACTGGGTTAATGAATAAGGTCTTGGCTTAGGATGGTGTGGTACACCTGTAATCCCAACACTAGACTACATAGCAAGTACAAGGCCAGCCGAGGCTACATTGTGTGATCCTCGAGAAAGAGAGGAAGAAGGAAAGAGGGGGGAAGGCAAAACATTGGAGAAGAAGAGAGACATCTGCTTCTGTTGGTCCCTTGTTTCAGTAGGCACAAGCAGAGAAGATGTACTCCAGGGGTCCTAAAGTGGGGGAGTTAGCAGTTCCCTGAAACACACTACTAAGTCAGGATCGATTAAATATCAACTGATGCATCCTGCAATGAGCCAGATCTACGGCCTCTGAGAGCATCAACTTTATCATCTATTTCTTGATTTCTCTGCTTATAATGCATTCCATTAGCCTGAGGTCTTGAGAGTCTTGTTAAACATTATGGCCTTGCCTGCTTTCATTTTGAGTTAACTGGGTCGTCTGACTATACTTAAAGTGAGTGATTTGAAGAGAAGCAGTAGTGAACTGACATCTGTCCCTAATGGTTCCTGGGTCACATGTCAGATAGACCACATATTTTTTATTACATATTCTTCCTCCAAGATCTCACAAAACAACAACACAGGGTGAGTAAGTATGTGATTAATCAGAAAAGCAGATGTGGTTGGCACCCCACTAGTATCTTTAGGATTTACTGTGCCACTGAATAACCATAGCAGGCATACAAGAAAATGAGGGGAATCAAAACCTAATTTGTGCAAAACGAAGAAAAGGAGAGAAAACAAATAGCAAACACACCAAAAAAAATCTCCAAATTAAAGAGCGAAACTACTCAGAATGAAGGAAGCATTGTGTCCAGAGGCTAAAATAAGACCCACATCAGAGTTAATGTAGCTGGGTGCCACATTGATTTCTCCTAGGACTAAGATACTTAATTTCATTTTTAACAGAGTCAGATTGATAGCTGATGACCCAAAGGTGACACTACACCTTTGTATGTTACACTCTACTCTTTTGTAGAGATCAAGAATCAAATGCTGTCCAATATGGAACCAGGGCATGAAGGTCCTGCCTATATCCCATGAATGCCTTTCCCTTCTGAGAGTTACCATGCAGTGGGCTAATGTTTCTGTTGTATCCATAATTCAACTTTGTCCTGATTCCCCCCTCACACCTTTAAAAAAACTGTTACAAGTGTTTATGTTAGGAGGTGCACTCTTGAGTGGGTGTTGCGTGGCTAAGACTATGGCTGGAGGCCAAAGTGGAAAAGACAGTGGAAAGAGCCAAAGCTGTGGTCATGTCTCACTCACAGAAAGCTGGTCTACAATTTGTCTGTGGGTGACATCCATGGACACATGAAGACTCACACTGAAAGTCATGGACAGGTAGGTGCCACTGATGTTGGGTACAATGCCACAAATCTGGAGAACCTCACAGCTGAGGTGCTAGAGTTGGCAGGTAATGTTTCCAAGGATCTCAAAGTAAAGCACATCACTCCACATCACTTGCAGCTTGAAATCTTAGGTGATGAAAAGTTTGGTTAACTTATCAAGGCTACCAGGACCTGGGCACTGTGATCCTGTACATCCACAAATTTCTGATTGGAAAGAAGGGATGGTGGAAAACTGTTTAGGAAGTGATTCAACCAACCTGCTCTCCCTCACTGTCTGTAACTGGGACAAAGGACACCAGTGAGATGTGTGGATTTTTTGGGGGGTGGGGTGTGTGGGTACAGGGTTTCTCTGTGTAGCCCTGGCTGTCCTGGAACTAGCTCTGGAGACCAGGCTGGCCTTGAACTCACAGAGCTCTGCCTGCCTCTGCCTCCCAATTGCTGGAATTAAAGGTGTGCACTGCCACCACCTGGTGATGTGTGGGATTTTAAAGAACAGTTCAATGGAAAAACACAATTTCTGTAGACAAGATACAAGAAACATATGTATGTTTTTAGAGTCATGACGTTTTTACATAAGTCCCTTTCCCTGTGATGACAGGCATGTGTTGATTGGCCAGGTTTCTTCCTTCTGTTTTATACAGAAATAGAATTAATGAAACATTTTTTTTTACAAAATTAAAATAAAAAATTCCCTCCTTGAAAGGAAACGCAGGAAGAGAGGAAAAGAAGAGAAGGTGGGGACAGAACTAGGAGGAGAACATGAAGTTTGGAAATGAGGAGAAGTTGGAGAAATGGGGAAGGGGTTTGATTCTATCTAAATATATTGTGCCCAAGGATGAAATTACCAAGGGGTGAGTGAACAAGAAAGAGCTGTGTCCAATAAACTTCTTGTAGTGTTATACAGTTGTCTATGTCTGCCTCAGAATCCAGGTTAAGACCTTACTGCAGTGTGCAGTGTGGGAAGGTGCAGTGTGGGAAGCTCCAAGTATCAAGCAACAAGAAAAGGGTCCTAAAAGCTTTAATAAAGAAAAAAATCAAAGAACAGGAAAGAAAATAACACTAGATTTCTCAACACCAACTTTAGAATCTAGAAAAATAAATTATAAACAATGAGGAGGGGGGCTGGAGAGATGGCTCAGAGATTAAGAGCACTGACTGCTCTTCCAGAGGTCCTGAGTTCAATTCCCAGCAACCACATGGTGGCTCACAACCATCTATAATAAGATCTGGTGCCCTCTTCCAGCCTGCAGGAATACATGCAGGCAGAACATTGTATACATAATAAATAAAATCTTAAAAAATAATGAGGAGAAAGTATTTCCTTCTTAGATTTACATTTAATCCTAGATGATAGAGTTCTCCATAGAAATATCCAGCTTCCGTGTGTGATCTCAGTCTGGAATGTCCCTAAGGCCCTGTTATTTCTGGGACACAGCAGAGGATTTAGAAGTAGTACTTGAGGAATCTTTAGGCCATTGGGACCATGTATGTGAATCTTTAGGGGACAGCATCTAATGGGGCAGTTTTAGACCATTGGGACCATATATATGAAAAACATAACAACCCCCCAACCTTTCTTCTCTTTTTCACTTGTTTCTTGGTCCTAAAGTGAGTGGCTTTGCTCTACCACATGCTGCCTAAGGCAATGTTTGCCTTGCCACAGGCCCGGAAGTAATGGGACCAAGTAGTCATGGACCAAACTCTCCAAAGCAGTGAGCTGAAATATAGCCTTTGTCTTTATGAATTTATTATTTCAGGCTTTTATTACAGTGGTAGGAAGCTGACACACTACTTCAATAAGTGGAAAGATGGACCAAAAGCATTTTTCTCATAGGCTAGTGCTCAGTGAGTCCATGCCTCCTTTAGTCTATCTTTAGAAGCAACTGGAAGAAAGTGAAGCAAGGAAGAATGGTGGTGGCCAAAGAGTGTCCTGAATAGGAGCAATCAAGGTGAAAGAGAAGACTAAGAAAGCAGGAGACATGAGGTGTTGGAAGACAGAGGATTATCTCAAAAACTGGCAGAGCAGCAAGGGAATAGTTAGCATCAGAAGGATGGATGGACTAAACATTGAGGGCTCCAGGAACAAAGCAAATCATTATTATTTACAAGGTAATGGTAATACATAAAGTATCTATTAACTTCAGCATGGATATGTATTTATAAACAAATGGTGGCATGATTCCATTGAGCAGAGCCATGTTTTCATCCCCATAGGAAAGTCAGCATTAACTCAGTGAAACCAAGTCTGTGCTGGAATGCCGAGGAAAAGGAAAATGGTGGGAACAGTGGTGAGATGAAGCCTTATGTGGTGGGCTGTGAAGTCAGGGCACATCTCCGAAACAAATGAGCCACAAATCACCGATCTGTGTAAAATATGATGCTTAGAGGAGGTAGGTAAATTTGTAGTGAGGGCAGCAAGTGGAATGAGAGAAGACACTGGGCTGGCTAACAAGTCAGGAGAGCAAGCAGCATTCCTCCACAGAACACATAGCTTGCTTTAGGACCAAGACGTCTCAGAAATGAGTGGATTTCCTAAAACCCTCATGATCCTTTCTCTTTAGATTTGTTTTGTTTTGTTGAGACAAGAGTCTTATATAGCCCAGGCTGGTGTTATCCTCACTTTGAGACTGTAGAAGATCTTGAATTTTCTAATCCTCTTGCTTTCATCTCCCAAGTGTTCGGATTACAGGCATGTTCCACTATGGCCGTTTGTGTTTTTTGTTTGTTTGTTTGTTTCCTTGTTTGTTCATGCAGTGTTGAGGATGGAACACAAGGCCTTGTATGTGCTGCGCAAGAATTCTAGGGACGGAGCTGCATCACCAGCTTCATTAACAACACTTTTACACTTGGTTCCTGCTGACAGGTTTGAAGATGGATGGCAAATCATCTACTCCACCCTTAATGGCCTGTGCTGTGGAAGATACTGCTAACTCAGCACAGCCATGCTTCCTACAACTCATAATGTCCATCAAGGTCACAAAGGTAAGGGATGACAGCACATTAAAATTCTCCAAGGAAGTCTCTGAGGGTCAGATAACTAGACAGTGGCTTCTTCCAGTTCCAAAAGACCTGATGAG